AAGTCTGACAGCAGAGCCATTCAAATCCAGAGGAGACTTCCCACAGGGGGCAGGAGCAAGCCTGCAGAAAGCAGTTTCCCAGTAACAAGGAGTTAAAATACAATCCTCTTTTTTTCTATAAATGTTCCTTGGTGACCAATAACGGATTCAAAGATCTGCCCATAATCAGAAGGCTGGCAGGAACGATTAGCGTGGGCTTGGGGCACAGACAATCTCACCTTAAAACAGCCTGCTGCAGTGTATTACAGCAGATCCTGAGAGCCACAAATGGGAACGAACAGTACCGAAAGGCAGAGGAAATTGAAAATACCCTTTTTTACCCCCTTCGTCCCTTTTTACCGCTCTCATAAATCTTTTAGTAAATAAGTGAATCACAGAGGAACCGAAGGAACTGGCACACTCAGAGGTAGTTTACGTACCAAAGCATCTCCGCCTGCAAGGACTTGCTGCTGGAGCAGCTCGCTGCGGCTCTGGGATCTGAAGCCACGTCTGGCTGCGGCTGCTGTGCCAACCTTCCTGCTCTGCTGCCAGGGCCCAGGATGAAGCGCAGGCACAGGCCCTTTGGCCACGTCAGTTTATCTGAAACCGCTTCAGGTACTGGGAGGGCAGCAGAAAACAGCCCAAACTCCTGGCTTTCCACAGACATCCATATCCCAGGGGCTTTCTGGCCCCCGGATCATTATGCAGTCAATAGACGTGTGCTAAGCCTTCAACTTCCTAATAATTTCATAGTCTGTATATACAGCCACCCTTGGCTTTACAGACACTACGTGCGTGTGACGCACCTGAGCGCAGTCAGATGGCTGTAACTGGGAAAAACCCTGCTACGGCAGTTTGGTCAGGACACAACATGATCGGAGCTTTCCGTGTAACGGCTGGACCACTGGGTGCAGAGCTCCACTGTGTACAAGGAATCACCCTCCCTCCGAGGCCTTACAACAACGGAACTTGGTCTGCCCAAGGAGGACGCTTCCCCCGTGCGATGGTAGGCGGTACCTGCCTGCGATGGATTGGGACGCCGGAGACCGTGGGCTGATCAGATAAAGGTGACAACTCGAAGTGGCAGGCAGCTCCTGTGATGCTGGTATGTTGGAACAGAACAATAACGTGCGTCTTGCTATCTCTTCCGAGAAGCCCAGATCTAATTACATCTCCGCCGTCAAAGGGCTCCACACAGAGCGCTGGGTACCAGCTGGAGCCTTGCAATTCACTGGAGTCTGAGGACAAGGTTCTGATAGGCTTTTCTTTCACTCTCCCATGAATGATGTTTCTTCACGTAGTCTTTGGCCCTTGTTACAATTTCCGTTTCCATAATGGGGTCATTCATCAAACTCCTGGACAGCAGAACAAACTCCTAAAAAAAGATAAAGAAAATAATAAATTAAAAGTTCCTTGAAGTTCTAATGGTACCGAAATAGCTTGTGCCCGTATCTTGATTTTGGTAAAGCTCAACCGCAAACCCAATATATGAACTTGTTCAAAGTAATTTTTCAAGGTCAAGCACCATCATTTATTTATAAACACTGATCAATAAATAATTATTTTATATATTATTTTCTGCAGCCCACCAACTAAGACATTTAAATCAAAGACAATCCCAAGGGCCTTAAGGCAAATATGGGCAACAAATTTAATGACACAAAAATTGTTGGCCCACCCAAGTGTCAGAAAACTGGGCTGGTTATACATTAAATAATTCACCGGGTGCCCTGCATGGAGGAGAGCTGGCATCAGATTGTGTGACCTCAGCTCCCCTAAGCTCATTTCTCACTGCGACCGTGACATCTTCAGTTAACTTTTAAGACTGAAAAACTCTCTACATGAACATAGTCACAAGGCAGAGATAAGAGCAGGCAGCACCAAGCTCTCCAGAGCTGTGGCATCTGGGCAGTTCCAGATACAGCTGCATTAGCTCGCCAGGCTCTGCAAACAGCCATGTATGAATTTCCCTTTCTGAGCAAAACACTGGACCTCGCAGATTAGAACTACCCCTTCGGCTGCTCCTCTCCCACTCTACTTAAGTTCTAGGGAAGAGAAATTGTGAACTTCAAACATGTGAAGGGAGATTTGATGTCTGAACTAATCTATTCTGAGCAGCTGGTCTAATTTTCTATCAAGAGACAACTTCCAATACTTCAGCCTGATTACAAATGTGCTCAGATCTTTGCAAAACAGTGTCTTGGATCAGCTCAGAAAGGCAGGCAGCTGTTGCGCCAGTGGACAACTGAGATAATGCACTCCTGCACCACTGGAGGTGAAGATCTGCACGGGGACACGGGGGACAAAAAGGATGGGAGAGGAGATAGACTGTTTACACGGTCTGCCAGCTACGAAGGACATACCACAGATCTGACCAGCGCTCCCACCCACACGGCTAACTGGCCAGCTGCACCTGGAGACCCACGTGCAGGGGGTATGTAAACCCACACGCAGAGAGAACCCCTGTGCTTACGCAGAACCCACGTCGCCGTTGCAATGCAAGCAGTGGCTCTGCAGAACCCACAACTGCAACGGGAAACACCGACCCGCGAAATCACATCGAACACATTCCGATCACGGCTTTGACCCCGCCGCCACGATAAACTGGCAATACAGGCACCGCTGCCACGGGACTCAAATAGTCAGGGATGCACACAGCTGGAAAGGTTTGTAACTAGGTGATAGACTAAGAAGATTTCATACATGCATGTTAACCATAACCTCTTACTTTACCTGCAATCAGTATGGCTTGCAATCTTGCTCTGTCCCCCCAGCACTGAACGAGCAGCCCCCGGCAGGGCCACATGCATGTCCAGCCCACTGGCCACCAGCTCCCTGCGATCAGGAACGTGCTGGTGTGACTGGGCACTGGGAGCCCTGGGCCAGGAGGGGCTGTTTCTGAGTGCTGGTGACACTGTCCCTGCAGGCGACAGGGAGCCAGGTCCAGAGCGTGCCCCGAGCCCACATCCATCAACACAGCAGAGGGACAGGCAGCGGCTCCAGCCTCCGAGACACCAGCTTTCCCTTCCTCCCTCTCCGCCACCAAGATGGCACAGGAAGGTGGGAAAGTCTTACATGGCTCGTGCTGGCTTCATCCACTTGCCTGTGCAACCACAGTAATAAATCCTAACCAGCTACACTCCAACCTTCGGTTCCTGCTCCTGCGGAGGATTTTATTTAAAGTAATGTTTAAAAATAATGTATGTAAATTACAGAGACCAGAAGCAGTAATGTAACATTTCTCGACAGGCAGTCCCATTAGCATTCTCCTAACATGTGGATGCAGAGGACAAAAACTTGGAAACATAGAAATGATAGAAGCAACGAGACCCTTATTCACTTACAGAACTTAATGCTGGGATAATTTCAGGAAAATGCCAAACGGAGTCCAAAGCATAAAACTTGAGAAACTGCAGGAGAGAGAAATAGCAAATGGGAAAATGCCAGGAGATGGAGAAGAAGGACTTCTCAACTTCGCCCCTACTTCTTCCACTAAGGGAATGTGACCACCCACAAGCCACGTGGAGTCTGATGGGGAGCCCGTGGGAAGCTGCACTGGGACTGACTCATCTGGGTCTGCCTCCCGCCCCCGAGCAGCCGGCTTCCCCTGGTGTCAGGCTGGGATGCCCAGCCCTAGACAGCACTCCCTGCATTTCCAGGTGCCTCCCTTAACTCCAGCTGACTTGGCGGTAAGTCTGAAGCCGGGGCTCCTGCCTGCAGGCATTCAGAACTCGGAGCCTTTCAGAAAATGAGGCATTTCATTTCTCCTTTTCTAGAAGCCTACGCGGCGCGGTAACGTGTCCCTACCAGCTGTTAGCCGTGAGCACTGTGCATTCTCCTTTGGGGCTGTGGATGGAGGTGAGCTTCACTTTCCGTGAAGGAGGGGCAAAATTCACAAGTTGCTTTGCAACTCTCAACCCTAAGGGTATGCAGCCAAAAGGAAGGGGGCAATACGCATGCTAACTCACTGCTTGGGGGCCATCCATATTCTCATGAGCCTTTTGCTCACGTAGAGAAATCAGCATAAATACTGTACATGTCACAGGAAAACACATTGTAATAGTTGCACCTCAGGAATCAGCCACAGCCCAGGCAGAGCACAGGAGGAGATCATCCTACGTACATCCCGAACTGGCATTACACGTCCCCGTTTTATGGGCGGCACCTCACTTCAGGAAGAGGCATTTTTCAACAGCAACATCCATAACGCATTTTCTTCCTGGTAAATGGACCAATCGTCTTTAAAGAAAACGTCAGCTTCTGTATGTTTTTTAAGAGACCCAGAAATACACGAATGTGGGAGACAGAGCTAGAAAACGAGCGCACACAGTAAAAAACCGAACATTCCTGCAAAACCCAGAGAACTACACCAGTGCCGCAGCTCACGCACAATGAAAAGATGCATGGTTAATCTATTATTTATATAATGAAAGTAAGTCTGCAATTAAACCATTTCATATCAGCTTCAGCACATAAAAGAACATGATTCTTAAACAACAGAGTCGCCCCAGGGAAGGCGAATGCCAGATGCA